CTTTCCCTCTCGTGCCCGGTTCACATCCCGCTTCTCATGGGTATCCGTTTTCCAGGCTCGCAATGTCGTTTCTCCTTATGGAACGCGCGTTTTTGCTTCGTACGCACATCGATAGATCTAACGACGCCGATCGACCGATTGCGCAATCGATCGCTATTAACTACAGATGCCAACGGCGGATTTCTCTCTTTATCGTCGTGAAAAAAAAGTAATAACTATACGAGTCGTGTACCAGTGACCTTTATATAACGTTCGTCCTTCTCTCATCTTTTTACGGAATTGCGAAAAAAATAGGGATCGTCCGATTGAATTAGCAAATAATCGTTAATTAATTGAAAAAATTGAAAACATTTTCTATCATTTGGAGAATTTTATGGAAATTATAAAAAATATAATTTGTAAAAAAAAAAAAAATTGTACATAATCGTACGTTTTATTTCAAAGATATTCGGGTGAATACTTACACACAGAAAAATACATACTATATACAAGTAAATATTACTTATTTCAAGTATTTCAAAAGTTCATATATCCGCAAATCTATCATAAGTTCATCATAAGCATCAAATTTATTCAAAATATATTCTGAATCCTAATAAATTTAATACTTCAATCAAGAATATTAAATTATATAATTGAAAGAAATACATTAAATTTTTCTGATCTAATAAATTTTCTTACATTAAATTAACCATATCTGACTTTTCTTCGATAAAATTTTATAATATTCTTCAAAAGAAAATATTAACTTATTTTGAGTACATGATAATGAGTATTTCTAAAATTTGTGACAAGTCTATTTTAAGACTATTATTAAGAAAATATTCTTTGTTAAAGATAACTGTTACTTAAAAGAAGTAAAGTAAACTGAGTAATCATTTTACTTAGCAATAGAATAATATTTTTCTGTGTGTAGGCATATTTGAAGCTGATACGTGTATATATATAGATAATTTTTAAAATCTTTACAAAACAGAAAGAGACAGGGTGCTGCCATCTTTTACGAGCACCAGGAAGCCCCGGCGGAAGCTCGCTTTATCAATTATGTATCGTGCGTGTATCTCGCAATATTAATAAAATATTTATCTACATACCTTCTTCTTGCGATACGCGCAGCAGGACAAGCCGTTACCCATGATTCCAGCAATCGATCCCGATAGCGATCTCGATCACCACGTCAAGCCGCTGCAACTTCTTGCTCTGGACCGTTCGAGACATCGTCCACATCTTCGTCGATCACTTCTCTCCTCGCGAATCTTCTCCTCGTCATCTTGATCGCGCTCGTGAAAACCTGTCTCGTGAAAGCCGCTGTTCGTAAGCGTTATTTCTTTCAGGGTCGAAAATCCACTCTTTTTTTGTAACGCCGCATTTTTTCTCTCATTCCTTTCGCGTAATTTTTCTCTTCACAAAAATTTTTTATTATTTTATTTTTGCATTGCTTGTCGAAAATTCAGACTTCGCACACGTTGGACGCAAAGTAGGTTAAAAAATGGTGAAAAAATGCCGTTGCGTTTTGCCGTCTTAAGCGGAGTGCATTTGCAATTAAGATTTTAATCGCGTGGCAAATTGATCGCGCTTGCAACATTTTAATTAATGTTCGTCTTAATTTATCTTGCCTTGCCGCGCTATTTATCTTAATATTCTGTACAATGCGTTTAAATATTTATTTTATTTTTTTCGGGATTCACGGATTAAATAATAAAATTAAATTTGAATTAAAATTGAATTAATGCGAGATTACTTTCACTTGGAATTTTTATAAAATTATAAATAAAATAGGAATAAATATAAGAAATTGTTAGAAAAACACAGTAACAATTTTCTGTTATATTTATATTAAAATTAATAAAAGAAATAAAAACACGCGAATAAAAATATGCTATACGTTATCAGTTATAATCTATTATCAATCAGATTATATTATCAATTATAATTAAATATAAAATTTAGTATTGCTTTGATTATTTCTCAGATATTAATTTTAGGCACAATTTTTTATAATAATCATCTGATATAATGTGCTAATGATTTTTTAATGACTAAATAAAAATAATTAATAATAAAATAATTAATTGTTTTATTTATTGATTGATTTATAAGTATTGATGATTGCCACACAGAAAGTTTTTCATATAATAAAAATAGAATATGATGCGCGTTGTAAGCTTTTTTTAGATTACTGAAAGTCGTACTTGTTCACGTTACTTGATTGAGCGTCATTATTTATTTTCTACAATTTCCTGCAAATATATTTTATAAATAACAATTAAAAATTCTTGATATATTTTTTCACGGTAGTTCACGTTTAAACACGCGATTTCATTCTTTTATAGATTTCATTTTAATTATGTTCGAACTTATTTTTCTTTTTTTATTTCGAAGATTGAAACAATATTATTTATGTCGTGAATATATTTTGACAAAATTATTATATTATTAAAGTTGACAAAACAATTCACGAAACTTTTTCTATTTCTTTATAACTTTTAAATATTATAAAAATAATTGTCTACTTTAATGCAATAAAAACTGTTCGAAAAAAATAATAGATGATCGATGAGGACAATAGTATTGAATGATAATATCGCTAGTGTTTTCATTCCAAAATATTTTGCCCGGACGAAAAGAGAAGAAAATATAGCAATCCGAAAGTTATGAAGTCGGTTTTAAATATACATTGATTCACGCTTGCGAGTTTTGTATTTACATCACACATTCACTAATAAAAATATTAAATAATTAAAACATCCTGGCATAAATGTAAATTATATTCAATATATAGAGAAACGCACAAATCTGCTTTTCTTTGTATATGTGACATTCACTTTTACTTTTCTATTCAGATAAGAATCTTTTTTTGCAAACTGCAGTTTAATAAAAGTTCTCTTCAGTGCTCATTATAACGCGATGTATATTAGTACAAATTATTGATTATATTATTCCTTTTAGTGTCTTTTTTACCCCTAAATTGTATTCGTCTATAATCCCACGTAGCGATAGTTGTATTAGAGAAGAATGGTTACGTGTTATAATAATCTTATAATCCGGAGATAAAGCAACTCGATTCGCGATTTTGGATTAATCGCTCGCGTCTCGGCGTGACTTCGCGATAACGATACACGCCGTATCTACGCACACTACGTGTCGCTGAACTTCCAAAAACTGCCGGCTAAAATTGTAGAAATGTCCTAGCTTACACGCGCGCACCACGCGGACACAGCGGGCCGACACGCGTGTCGACGCGTGCGCGTGCGAGCGCACGGTACCAATATCCATACTGGCGAGTCACCGCTTTATTTTCCACCGTTACATCACTGTCGTCGGTAGCTTCGCTTCTCGGCATCGTCGCTTCACGGTAGCGTGTCTGACAGACCGCCTCTTGCTCTTATCGACGCGTAAAGAGCTTGGAACAAAACTGCAATTCGCACGCATAATCTGCACAGAATGCAGATTGCGATGCATACGGCTCGGCACGAAATTTGAAATCGAAATAAAATTTCAACCTGCCAAACTTTCCCTCTTTTACTCTTCTGGAATTCTCAGAAAATTTTTTTGTACCTGGAGAAATCAGGAAATTCTCATGAAATTTTATTAGGACTCAAGGAATTTTTTAAACAAGTCTCTCTTTGATAATTTTGCTCTTATACTGTAAGCAGTAGGCAATCCGCCGATAAACCAAGTTGTTGTCAAGAAGTTGTTCTTTTTTAAGCCGTAAAAGATGCAAGAATTTTTTTGTGATGTATGGAATCGCGTATTTGAATTTGGATTTTATATTCAAAATACTAATACTTAATCAAAACAAAAAATTAATTCATATTATTGACGGAAATGAATGAAAATTGTGCATCTTAATTCACACTTTTAACAATCGTCAACATCCACATATCTTTTAATTTGAAACTTCTCTCTATCTCAAATCAAGCTTCTCTATTTTAATTAAAATGCAGTTTGCAGAATACATACATGACTGAGTTAATATTTCTTATAGCGCCGATAGCGAGTTCGTTGTGATTGTTTTAGCACCAAGTTATATAAACATATCGAGACTATTTAGTATACTGATCGACACTGATCTTTCTTCGAAGCAAATGCATTCGAACACACGCGCGATGCGCTCGCTCCGCTACTGACGCCGTCTCGCATGCAAAGCATATGTTGACAGTTAATACATGGGCTTACGTCAAGCGCGAAGCTTACGTCAAACTCGTTTCGTCAATGCAAAAGTCTCGATAAATGACAGTTTCGCGCGGATTGAAGATAATGATGCATCGTGGGTAAACTATTTGAAGAACAAACATGCAAATCAATAGCAATTTGTTGTTTGCGTTGTGGGTGTTTGATAAATTTAAATCCGGAAGCTTGATTTTGTACATGTGAACATTATAAAAGAAAAAAAAGAAACTAAGCAGAGAACCTATTGTAAAAAGAGATAGTATTAAATATTTTTTTATCAAAAATATTAATATTAATTTAAGCGATTTGATTCTTTTAACCAGCACAATTCAAGAAATTGAATAAATATATAAAATAATGTGATAATATTTTTTTTTACCAATACTGTAAGCAACTTCGTGCTTCGGAAAAGACAGATTATATATACATATACTTGGCCTACGTGCAATCTACGGCCCTCTTCTCCTTATCATTAATCAGCATTGCAAACAGTTCCATTAAACCTAATCCGCCGATAAACCAAGTTGTTGTCAAGAAGTTGTTCTTTTTTAAGCCGTAAAAGATGCAAGAATTTTTTTGTGATGTTTGGAATCGCGTATTTAAATTTGGATTTTATATTCAAAATACTAATACTTAATCAAAACAAAAAATTAATTCATATTATTGACGGAAATGAATGAAAATTGTGCATCTTAATTCACACTTTTAACAATCGTCAACATCCACATATCTTTTAATTTGAAACTTCTCTCTATTTCAAATCAATCTTCTCCATTTTAATTAAAATGCAGTTTGCAGAATACATACATGACTGAGTTAATATTTCTTATAGCGCCGATAGCGAGTTCGTTGTGATTGTTTTAGCACCAAGTTATATAAACATATCGAGACTATTTAGTATACTGATCGACACTGATCTTTCTTCGAAGCAAATGCATTCGAACACACGCGCGATGCGCTCGCTCCGCTACTGACGCCGTCTCGCATGCAAAGCATATGTTGACAGTTAATACATGGGCTTACGTCAAGCGCGAAGCTTACGTCAAACTCGTTTCGTCAATGCAAAAGTCTCGATAAATGACAGTTTCGCGCGGATTGAAGATAATGATGCATCGTGGGTAAACTATTTGAAGAACAAACATGCAAATCAATAGCAATTTGTTGTTTGCGTTGTGGGTGTTTGATAAATTTAAATCCGGAAGCTTGATTTTGTACATGTGAACATTATAAAAGAAAAAAAAAGAAACTAAGCAGAGAACCTATTGTAAAAAGAGATAGTATTAAATATTTTTTTATCAAAAATATTAATATTAATTTAAGCGATTTGATTCTTTTAACCAGCACAATTCAAGAAATTGAATAAATATATAAAATAATGTGATAATATTTTTTTTTACCAATACTGTAAGCAACTTCGTGCTTCGGAAAAGACAGATTATATATACATATACTTGGCCTACGTGCAATCTACGGCCCTCTTCTCCTTATCATTAATCAGCATTGCAAACAGTTCCATTAAACCTTATTATTTGGTTCTCGGTTGTTACCCGGACACACGCACGCCGCCAAGTCGCGCTTTAATCAGCTGATTTATGGTGTTCGACAATGCCGCGATTACGATCTATCTGTACACGATGTGGCAATTTATCGTTTATCTGTGTGCGAGGTGTTGATCGCCAGAAAATTGAAAAATTATAGCCACGAGCGTATACAATGTCGCAAAGACTTTAACGTTTGACTTATTACTATTAGAGCATTTTTATTATTCCTCCATCTGTAATAAAGCTCTTTGATCTTTTGAAGCCTAAAATATAAATACTTTACATATTTGTTATTGGATAAATAATTATCTTCAAAAAAAAAATTATAAAGTTGGTTTCAAAAAATAATAATTCTAGTGAATCTTTTTATTCATTTTTCATTCTTTTTTTTTCAGTTCATGGAAAATTTTGTAAAATTTTTGCAATTATGACGGAAAAAAATTGCGAGTTTTTTCACGTCGAAATTTTACGCGTCGAATCTTAAAATAGCCTATCTAACAAGCAGATATTTGAAAATAGGGAGAGGGAGCAGTAAAAGAATGCATTATTTATCAAAACATGTATAACGATTTATTGAGGATCTATCCAAGCATGTTAAATTTCTTGAAATGCAGGTACCTACCTATGTCTACTCGCTAATGTTACATTTGACGCGCAATTTCACTCGAAAAAACCGACCGTACATACGCATACGGTTCGTGTCTAATTTAGAGGGAGAGCTGCGTTTTGTATCTGGAGTCGCGCTTTTTTTCCTTTTTTCTTTTTAATGATTCTCGCGCCGATCTATCTTCTTTTTTCGCCGGCACGATTGACGGCCTTGCGTGGAAATAGACGATAGCTTAAAAAAAAAAACGACGACATTCGTCACTTCGGATGGCTTGCTATAATAACGATAATCTGTACATTAAAATCTACAAAAGTGCGGACTTAATCTTTCCTCTTGGTCGATCTCGCGGAAGGAAAGGAAGTCTTCGTCGTGGCCTCTTTCGCGATCGAAATGAAAATGACATGCTTACATTGCACGATTTTCTCGAGCAAGAATAAAACATCGATTCGTTTAAAATATATTAGTGTTTGCCAATTTCTTTAATCAATTATATCAAAAGTCTAATCATTTTGTTGATAAACGCTTCGATTATTTTTATTATTCATTTATCAAATATTATTCGATAGTCGTTAATTGATTTATATATTCGGTAATCATTGAATAATTTCTTTAGTCCTGATGTAATATGTTTTTTAATCGATGCATTACATTGCGCGACACAATCGTGCGATGTAAATGCGCCATTACAAGATTGGTCACTGATCGCGATCGTGCCGGCCACCGCAATAAATCTGCGCATTCGATCAGCTTATAATAGTTTTGATTGCCAGTCTTCAATACTTTGTGTGTTTCTTTTGTGTGGTCTTTCTTTCTTTGTCTCGTTGCTGTTTCTCGTGTTTATCTCAAGGCCGAATACCGCGATTGCCGGATGTTCGATTAAACTCTCGACAAATTCTCGTTCACTGCATTCAAAACAAATCGAGTTTCGCGATTAAATGAAAATTTTTCTCAAAATCTACTTTTTATGAAGATGTATTATAAATCATGAATTTCTTATAGATTGTGAAATTTATAGCGAAATAATAGAATACTTAATTTACTCTTGTTGAATATTAAAGTTGAGACTATATTGAATTTTATTAATAAAAAAGATATATTTCATTATCTTTTTTATTTGTCTCTTTCTCCATTCAATAAAAAGATTTGACGATGCAAATAATTCGTGAAACCATTTTAACGAGAAATCGAGAATTAAGCCGATCCGGCATAATATTTTGTTATTTATTTTCTTGATTCGGAAAATTCACGGTTTGATTTCACGTCATTCGCGACGCGACTCGTAAATGATTCGGCTCGACTCGCGATAATCGATAATCCAAAAAAGTGAGGTTCGACTCTCTACAGCAATGCATGTGCTTATATCGAGAAGTATTGATCGATCGATCGATCAACATTCAAGAAAAACTTGCCTTTCCGACGAACCAAGCGACAAAAAGGGCAGTCCGCTTTGTTTCGACTCAATTTCTCTAATTACATCTGCTCAATAACGGGATTATCGGATAAATGCGCCACTTGATTCGTCGAAATTGGCTCGCAAATTCGATATCTTTAGACGTGATCTCCTCCACGAAAATTTACAGCTAGTACCAGAAGAAACATATGCCCGGGACCGATCCCGTTTTCGCGATCAACATCTGAATAAAAATAATAATTAATCGAAATATTATTCATCAATTTGCAAAATTTCTTGAAATTTTGAAAATCAGAAGATTGAAACACTCGATTACATTTTGTTTTCAAAGGAGAGAAAGGAGCTATTGTTTTAATTCTGGATGATTAAATGAAATATGATAAAACCCGTGCACGCAACCACGCTTAAGATTTTTAAATCCTTTAACGCAATGTCAAATATATTGAGAGAATACTTAATTTTCTCTCTTTTTTCGTTTACCTAACACAAAAAAATTATTATTTCACAACTTTAAGCGAATTATTATTATGTATAATATTTTTAAATATCATTTTAAAAATTATTGCACAGAAACGCAAATTGTGAAATATAAATTTTACAATTTTAAGTAAAAAATTCTGATGTCATAATGTCACAAATTCTGAATTCTCGATTGGATTTTAAATGGGATGTCATACACTTTGCCTGATTATAAGTTATGAAAAGATACTATCATAAATCATTTCGATCACTAAACTCCTATTTTACTTATAATTTATTAGAGTATCTTTTCGCGAAATGGTTCCCTCTCTTAGGTAGTGTTATTTATCCAAAATCGGAATCCTTTCGCGATTTTCGCGAAGCCGGTCCCTGACACGTAGTGCGTAGACACATCTATGACATGTGCACGACGAATTTTCGACACCCGTCGCGATCGACGATCGAGACAGCGCATTCATCTTTCACGATCGCGAAGAAAACGTTCGTTTCGAATCTTAATTCGTGCTAAAGATTCGATATTGACTGAATTTCCGTGAGAAAAATCGTACAGCTGTAAATTAATCCGAGACACCCGATTAATCATTTACGGCGAGAAATGCAACCTGATCTCGATCGACGAGGGTGACATGTAAGATCTACTTAATTGTGAAAGACACGATTGAATCTATGATTTGAAAGATCGATCTCGAGAAACTCGATAATATCGCGCGAACAAGAATTTAAGAGATCTAATTTTTTGCATAATTTTTTTCTGTACGATTTATTATTTTGAATAATATAAATATTATAGTTTTTATAATTCATCAATTTGATTAAATTCATTAATTCATATAATTCCTCCTTAACTTTTTAAAAATAAAATAAAAAATTACATTTACTTTATATATATCAATTCTAATAATTTAGTAATAATATGATTTTTGGTAAATGTTCAGATTAATTTACACCTCACGGATCATTTTCATTTTGGGGTTTGCAACTTTCCACTTTATATTTACACATTAAAAAGTATATGCGTGGAGATAGTATGTCCCCCCCCTGCGGGGGGGCTCTACTATTAAAAAACTAGACACATAGGTTTGCGTTGAACTTCGCTTCGCGTGGAAAATGGAAAAATTCAAGAAGCTTCGTTCCCGAAATGTAAACAAACACTTTTTCCACATCTGATTTACACAAATACAACAAAAACAAACTTTATTTTTTCTTATTTTATAACAGAAAAAGCATTAAAACTGTGAAACTTTAAAATTGCATATCTCTGGAACCAGAAGAGAGCGCCAC